CGGCAGCCTGCATGCCCACCTGCCTGCCCCCTGACCGTGAGGCACAGCTCATCCGCGCTGCCTACCAGTGCTGCTTAGGCTGCGGCCTCACCGACGGCGTGTTCAACGTGGAGCTGAAGCTGACCGCATCCGGCCCCAAGCTCATCGAAATCAACCCCCGCATGGGCGGCTTCTACCTCCGCGACTGGATTCAGGAGATCTACGGCGTGGACATCATGCTGGCCTCCGTCATGGTTGCCTGCGGGGTGGTCCCCCTCCTGCCTGCTCGCTCTCGCCCCCGCATGCACCTGGTGGGAGTGATGTGCTTGGTGTCGCAGCACCTGCAGGCCCTCAAGTCCACGGCCAGCCTGGAGACGCTCCAGGCCCTGCATGAGCGTGGCGTCATCCGCCTCAACCTACTCGATGATGAGCTCGTGTCCAGCGAGTACGAGGAGCCCTACTGCAACGTGGCTTGTGCCAGCTCTAGCCGCCGCGAGGCCTGCCTCAAGCTGCTCGGCATCTGCCAGGTGCTGGGCATCGACTCCCCACACTACCCTGTGGCCCACTTCCTCTCACATTTCAAATAGCCTTGGAGATATGGCTCCCTCCGTCTGGAGCTGAGCCTGGGCCTGCTCCGGAGAGGGAGCCTTGCCTGCCCCTGCTCCTAAATTAGCCTTCCCTTGCTCCCAACTCACCACTGGGGTTTGCATTATTACACAAACACCCTATTTCCTACAGTCTTTCTCAAGTGGCTGCTGTCTCCCTCAGGAAGGAGCGTGGCACCATCTGGTGCCATCTCTGGTAAGTGCCACACACACACACCATTCACACCCTTGAATGGGCTCACATCCTCCTTTTGCGGGGGGGGGGTCCTATTCAATGCAGAGTCCCACCCTTCTTGAAGTCATCTCTTCTTCCTTTATTTGCAGCTCTGCTTAATTCCCCGACTTCAACCTTGGGTCCTACATTGTTCCTCCCCACCACCATACACAGAGGCAAGATCTCGCCTCTTCACTTTCCCTTTCTTCCGCTGGGGGAAAAGTTGTTGGCTCATGGCCAGGCATCCCCTGGAGAGATCCTCCTTCATGCTTCCAAAATCAGTGGAAAGAGGGCTGGGGTCAAAAAATTCTTACAGTCCCCACCAGCCACAATACTTCAGTGATCCTGCAAGAGCAAAATAGTGCAAATCTGACTCTGAGCATTCTCCCCCCCCCCAATTTCGAACCCCCGTATGCAAACGTCATCTACTTATGGGAAAGTCCCACAAACTCCTCTGCCAACCTACTGTAACAAAAGGACCATATGCAAGCCTGCAATAACAGATGTTTACAGAGCAGTAGAATGTAAGACATTAACAAGCTAGTTCCACTGACTCAGCACTTGCAAACCCCCTAGCGCCGCGTGATCCTTTTAGGAGCTAATGAGCATGCACAATACTGTGCTCATAAAATGACCATAGAAATAACAGGAGGGCAAACAGTGATGCAGTGGCAATCTCTGACATGCATGCTTAGGTGCTGGGAGAAGCCGCCAACCAAGTTTTCAGTGCTTGCAAGAGAAACTGCTGTAACAATCTCCCTGCAGTGTCCCAAGAGAGACGCTACAGTAGGATATCGCTGTGACAGCGCTTCTAAGCACCCACCAGTAACACATTAGCATCTGAGAATCTCCAGTGAAAAACAGCACCAGCGCTCCTGACTTACCTTAAAATAATCAGCCTTCCAACGGAAGCCCCTTCCAATGCCCCTGAAGACCCTACACTACTAAGAAACCATAGTGCCAGCATTCCTGAGTGTTTCTGCAATAACAAGCCACAACCTTGCCACCACTCTGAATTATGGTGAAGTAGTAATGCTTTGTGCATAGACCTAGCCATCCCCAAATAAGTGACGTTACCAATATAGTACCAGCATCCTTAAAAATGCCTATAACCAGCATAAAGGAAAAAGAAGCAAAAGCCGTTTTGACTGGCATGATGGAAGAGCATCTCTTGTCTGTTTAGCACGCTAGTGGAAAACTGGCCCTCCAGAAGCGGTTGGACTACAGCTTCTGTCAGCCCCAACCAGACATGGCCAATGATCAGAGATGATGGGAGCTGCAGTCCAACAGCATCTAGAGGGTCCATCAGCCTACCACACTTGTTTAATAGCTCATGGGTTTCCTGCAGCTTCTGAAAGAGCAGTTGCAAGATGGAGCACCTGAAGGGCCTGGGATGACATTCCAGAGCCTGTGAGGCTTAAAATGACAGGCATATTGATCCCATTGGGGGAGAGGGGAGGCAGGAACTGAGAGATTCAGGGTGCCCATGATTGGGTGACTAACAGCAGGACCATTAGTTAAGTGTGCCCTCCTAACATGGGTTGGTGACCCTGCCTTCCTGCCTGCCTATCCTTCCCAACACTTCTGTAACCAGGAAGGCATAATAGTTCCTCCCCCACAATAAAATGCCGTGTAAAAACATCCAGACTGCAGAGGTGTTATTTGCACCTGCCCCAGAGCTCAATACCCAATTGCTTACTGGCTGGTGAAAGAAAACCTGGCAGAGAATGAAGACCCGCTGAGAAGCAAGTGGATTTTGGAGGACTTCGCTGGATGGAGAAGTCTCTTCACAGCCACACCCCCCTCACCTCATGGACCTGTTCACTTCAGGGAGGCTTCCAGATGCTTCTATAAGAAGCTGCTCGCAAAGGGGGGGGGGAATGGAAATAGTGTTCCAGAGTTTGGCTGTTCATCATCTTATGTGAAGAACAAAGACTGGCTTCATTCAGCACCCAGACCAGATGTTCTTTTCTGCACTGTTCTGCCCAAGGGTATTCTCTCCTCTGACCTAGGGTGTTGAGAGCAGTTGAACCGGAATTTATCCCCTTCCCCGATTCCTGAAAGGAAAGAGCAGCTCTCCCTTTGTCTTAAGCACTTTGCAGGTTTAGGCAGAGCTACTCAGTTGAACTGTTCTCTAACCAAAATGACTGAGAGGAGGGGTTTGACATTCTCCAATAAGGAGGGTGAGGTAGGTGTAGCTGTCATTCTCTTACCTTGGTTCTGCTTTAACCAACCCCTCACCTACATAGTTTTGAATGGCCTGTGAAAAATAGTCTTCTCTGCTGCTTTGGAATGAATCCTGATACTTTTCAGGCCTTGCCATTGGAACCAAAGCTTCATTTGCTGGATCTACCCCACACATTTCCTGCCTTCTCTTCACAAAACAATCTTTGTACTTAACTAAGACCAGCGAGCTCGTGAATTCTAGATACAAAACGTACCATGAAGAAACCTAATTACGTGACCGGAATGCAGTAGTCATATTGAAGAGAGGGAAAGAGAGAGGGGGGGGAAAGTTCTGGCAAACTTTCTCAATTTGCATTAACTTCTGCTCATGAAGTAATTCCATAATGTCATGGAATTTGTAATGCTTTGGCAGTGATGCAGCGTGAGAAAAGTGCTTCAGCAGGAAAGTGCTGGAGGGTAAAAAGTCCAAAGCTGTAAAATGAAATGGGGTAAGGGGTGTTGTTGGCAGAGGGACTGAGCAGCGGAGAAAGGGAGAGGAAGTAACTGCCAAGCCACTTCTGTTCAGCCATGGAGAATGCACAAGTCCCCGGCATTTGACATTCTGTACCCTTAACCATTCTACCAGGGATACTGGGAGAGCTCAGAACTCAGGGAGCCCTGTCTTTTGACATCTAATCCATGCTAGTTCTTCCCTCAAAATAAGTGCCAAGGGAAGGAAAACTGGGGGGGGGGGGAGAGAATGTCAAGAGCACATAAAAATATTTTATTGGGCCAGTGCTTTTGTGTTCTCTTGGTTACCAAACACATCAGTGTGCTTTGTAAACGGCTCTGAATAAGCAGCATGCTGTCAGGCCAGTTAAATCTTGCAGGTTTTTGTGCTGCCTTGAAATGCACTCCCCACTTTTTATCCTCTCTTCCGTTTGAGCCTTCTCCTCTAGTTTTTCAACAGGAGTGCCAGCATGAAGGTCATTTGCTGACCACGTGGGTAGAAACAATGTTCACAATCTTGTGTGTCCTTCAGCATGTGTAACCCTATACCATACAGGGCTTTAGTGGCAGAATATGGACGGCTGATCAAGCTGCATGTTAACCTACATAGGTGAAGAATAAGAGAAAACTTACATCGGTCTTTATTTGTTAGGTAACAGTTTAATGTATCCCCATGAGAGGATTACCCGTATTAGAAAAATCCATGCTTCCATTGGCCTTTGAGCTGGGAGCCTACCAAACGTCTCAGATCACAATGTAGCTTCTATAAATCTCTGGTGAATACCCAGTCTTCCTGCAGAACACTAAGAAGATCACGGTGGGTGGCTGGCCAGTGCTCCACCTCTAAAGCTGGTAACTGAAGGGGCCAGGAGCCACCTCTCCAAAGGCAGGATTTGGCACAGGAGTCGGTAGTTGCTGACTTCTATAAAGTCATATGGCAATAGATGGACTGAGATACCACCAGAATGTTTAGAACTGGACAACATATCTAGAGTGCCAAACCAGAAAATGATTATTATTAAGAAAAGAAGACAGCAGCCACAGTGTCTCTATATTAATAAGTCTCAATGCCATAGTGAAGGACACAACAGAGGGCTTCTAGCATAGTGGAAGAGCTTCTCTACCAATGGTGCGGAGAACCTATCTTTGTAGAAAGATAGCCCACCCAACCTTACTTCTGGAACTTATGGGGTCTTGGGTTTCTGCATGTCAGTTGCCCTCATGCTGCTAACCAATTAACTGCAGAATTGAAAACAACACATGCTAGTTAAAGAAACCACAGCTTGCTAAAGAGTAAGCAGTTAAACCAGTAAGTCTTACAGCTTTTTAAAAAGCAGAAAGGTCCTTCTCTTAACAGCTGATGTTTGGACTTCATAAAGTGAAGATACAAGGGGTATTATTTATACCCCACCCATCTGGCTGGGTTTCCCCAGCCAATCTGGGCAGCTTACAGTGCATATAAAAGCATAGTAAATCAGCAAACATTAACAACTTCCTGATACAGGGCTGCCTTCAGATGTATTCTAAAAGTTATGTAGTTCTTTATCTCCTTGACATCTGATGGGAGGGCGCCACTGCCAAGATGGCCCTCTGCCTGGTTCCCTGTAACTTCTCAAAGTGTGGGAGCCACCAGAAGACCTTCAGAGGAGGACTTTGGTGTCCAGACTGAGCAATGGGGGTGGAGATGCTCCTTCAGGTATACTGAACCAAGGCTCTTTATTGGATTGATGCAGGCAGAGATGGCTCCAAAGGCATGTCAAGTCTCAGGCCCTGAGGAGCTTTAAAGGTAAGTCCCATGAATTGGCCCTGGAAGCTAACAGAATGACAGTGCAGAGGCCACAAGACTAACTGAATATGCTAATGCCTCCCAGAGTCCATCAGGAGATGAGCAAGAACATATTCCTGCAGCTTCTTGGTGATCTTAAATGGATCACCACAGGCCACATTGTAGTAATCAAGCTATAAAAAGCATGCATAAATGTAGGGGAGTACCTCCAAAAAGCAGAGTCTATGTAACAGTCACCATTGTTAAAGTTTCCTCTGGCTCCCACCAATACTTATCCAGGAGTTGGATCCAGAACTATACCTAGATTACAAATGTATTCAAATCTGGATATCTCCACCATATCAATCATGGACACACTAATCACTTCCACAGCCTAGGTTTATCCCACCATCAGTATCTTGTCTGGATCCGTTTGGCTTTTCCCCTCTAGTCCACTCCTTCACAACCTCCAGACACTGGTTGTGTCAGCCTGTCTGCCTAGCTAGTGATACAGAATTCCAAGGCTGTCCCAGTGCCTTCATAGATGATGTAGACATTAAGCAGCATTAATGAGAAAAAGTCTTCTGGAACACCCCATGCCAAAGAGCATCACAAACAACAACTCTTTGAGGGTGGGAAAACAAAAAAGGAAAAATACAGAAAAGCCAGCTCCAAAAAGCTAGCTGTTCTTCCCATCTCATCCAAAGTATCAAAAGCCACTGAGAAGGCTAACAAGATCGACAGGGTAATAAAGAGGACTCTTGAGGGTTGCTAAAACTACCACGGAAAAACCCAACAGTAAAGAGTCTAGAAAATAAATTTCATCTAGAAATGTTTAGCTCAGAAGACAGGAGATGAGGGAATGGACTTGATTGCTTTCATAAGGGGCAAAAAAAAAATGCCATAAAGAAGAATGAATAAAGTAGTACAAGAAACACACAAAATAGATTACTTCTTCATAGCACACATACTTGAAAACTACTGAATTTGCTGCTAGGAAATGTAATGACCACTGACTTGCATGGCTTTAAAAGGGGTGTGCACAAATTAATGGAGGATAAGTCTCTCCATGGCTTCTAGCTACAATGGCTGTGTTACTTATAGTAGAGGTAGTATGTCTACTAGATGCTGTGGAATACAAGCGGGGAGAGTGCTTTTCTGCTCACATGTACTACTTGTGGGCATCCGTCAGCCATCCACTTGGCCACTGTGAGAACAGGATGCTAGGCTAGATGAGTATTTGACCTGATCCAGCTGGACTCTTACGTTTGTGGGGACCCATCAATACCTACAAGTCTTGACATCTTTGAAAAATCCCAACATCACAGTGCAGCTGTAATCAATGTACTGGTGATAACTGCTGAAGTACATGGGAGATTGTTTTTGGAATTTATAGACTGTTGGAAGTAATAGAATGTCATTCCCGCCCCCCACTTGCTGATCATGTAAAGTTTACATATTTTCCCTCCTTTCTGATTAGGTAAAGATTGTTGCCATTTTCCAAAAGCGACAACGGGCATCAGAATTGATATGGCTGGTGGAATTCCTGCTGCTTGTGCTTTACACATGCCCCCATGTGGAAGTCATCTTTCTGCAATACAATTCCACATGGTGTGTGAATTTTGCAACCATGTGGTCAGGGCAGATTATGTGGGGCCTTCCCCTGCAATCAGCAAACTACCCAAGCTATCTGACTCACCCTCATATTTGCATAGGTTAATAAAATTGTAGAGTTGGAATGTTTCCCAAGGGTCATCCAGTCCAATTCCCCTGCGATGCAGGAATCTCAGCTTGCAAGTCCAAGCCATGTGACATTGCATCAGAGAACAGTGGCTTCCATGTGGAATTCAACCAATGTTATGGACGCCTCTTAACATCTATTAGCATCTGTGAAAGCAGGTGACAACCAATCTCATCATGTTACACTTCATTTGATGCCATGTTACAGTAAAAAAATATGTCTGATTCTAGTTCATCAACAATGGAGGCTTTGAGCTGCATATATGGGCTACCAGAAAGCAACTACAGTAGTTCCTAATTCCACTTCTCTAGCACAATAATTAACTCTTCTCCACAGCAATATGTCAAAATCAAACCTAAGCTTACTTGATCTCTAGAGGTAGACAGATCCATTAAAGTCCAGTCTGTCCCAGTAAAGTGGTACCTCAGGTTACAGACGCTTCAGATTACAGACTCCACTAACCCAGAAATAGTACCTCGGGTTAAGAACTTTGCTTCAGGATGAGAACAGAAATTGTGTGGCGGCGCAGCAGCAGTGGGAGGCCCCATTAGCTAAAGTGCTTCAGGTTAAGAACAGTTTCAGGTTAAAAACGGACCTCTGGAACGAATTAAGTTCTTAACCCGAGGTACCACTGTACTACATGGGGGGGATGGATCTAAGTCCATCGTGTCCTGTTCTTTAAAGTGTTTGCACACTGTTAGCCATGTTTCTGCTGTATAATTCACTCTGAGAGTGAGAGTGGCAAGAAGCCCTGCTAACCACTCCAGGCTGTGGATGGCTGGAAGACTTCCCTGGATCCTAAAAAAAATGGGAACAGAGGAAGTGCTGTAGCACTCAGACCATCTCATAAAGGAATCCACTGTAAAGTGGACTCATGATTCTATCCAAATCTTGATTTTCCCAGATGAGATCCAGTAACTCCAATTTGGAATCTGAATTCTGTGGATTCCTCCCTGCTAAGAGCTTTCAACTGCACGTCTCTAGTTACACACCCACACACCCAACTAATAAACTCCACATAGCACTTAGTTGCAATCTCCTAATCCACAGGCACCATTTTAATGCAAACACCAAATTTATCCACTGTTTTTGCAATAGTAGCTTCCAGCTTAAAGTTTTATATACTCGGGAGCTGTTTAGAGCTAAGAGCTACTGCAGTAATAATCCTGTCTGTGTACACTGTACACGCTTTGTTTTTTGGAATCATAACCATTGTGGATTAAACCAAAAGTAGTGGTTTGAAGCCCTACAAAGCCAATGCAAATTGCAGAAAGGCAAGTATTACGTGAAGGATCTTTTAAAGACGAATAACAAGGTTGTGTAACAGAAGGTAGATGTGCTTCCAAGGTATGGTCTGAAGGGAATATGATACAAAACCTTGTCAAACCTAAGTTGGTTTGGGTCTAGTCAGTACTTTGATGCAGTGTTTGAAACTCCCATTGTTCTAGGCACATTTTGCAACAGGGAATTTCATTAGTGCAAAGTTTCTGAGCTCTGGGTGCAGTACTACGCCTAAGATTTCAGATTAAAACTGCAGATTGGAAGGAAAGGAGGACCTTTTTCTGCCTCCCCACTTCCAGCTACTCTCTGAAGACTGGAGAAGAGACCCTCTTAAGAATATCTGGGGGGTGGGCAGAGGAAGGACTAGACCATGTGAAAAATGAATGTAATATTTTAGCTGCAGTTCGTTCATTTTCAGCTTTGTATTCTTGTTATTAAAAAAGCTCGCCTAGACATTCTGTTTTTGCGCCCATAACCTAGGTTTAAGGTGCCATTTAGCTCCTAGCTTTCATATTTCAGTTTCTAACACTGCTTTGATGGGAGATTGGACAAGAACTCCATGTACATTACACCTTGAACTCTGGGATGGAAGAAAGGCAGGGGTACAAACATAATATACGTTAAAAAATAATAATTTAGAATTAGTCATGTTACTAACTCAAACATCAGCACATCCCAAATAAGCCATTACTCCTACTCCACAGTGGTCTAATTAGGAAGCCCATACCAGCACAAGTGTTTTTGAAAACTGAAGAATAGATCGCTCTAGATTTCTGTCCTAGGAGATTTAATTTACTGCCTTTTTCTAAAAACAAACCAACTCAAGAATGTGTTAAGCGCACTCTTACTAGGCTGCATATTTACGATGCAATAGTTTCCACTGAACTCAGATGTATTTGGGTATGTCTAAGGCTGGTAGCTCCTAGCACCACACAACCATTGCTCTACTATTGTAAGCTGCATGTGCAATTTTGTACGCTTGCAATTTTCAGATTTCAGGAGTGCAACACTCTTTTTGTCAGTATACATTTTCACTATCTTCCCATTCTGGTGAGCTTGACATGGTCTTGTGTTTGGAGACAGCAAATTAGAAGTGTTTAATAGCAAATTAGAAGATGAGGTGGGAAAGAAACTACTAAAATGCTGCTTAATGGGAGGGGGGACCCCTGGTTTTTGTTTTTAAAAATTGTGTTAAAGTGCTTTTTCATTTTGGTGCTGTGAAATTAAATTATTGTGTAAAAAAATAAGCATGCTGATTAAATGCTGCCACTGGGAAAGGCAATGGCAAATATATGTCCAACCAGATGTGTGGTGATAGATTCACAACCACACTTTTTTTAAAAAAAGGTGGAAGATTAGGTCCAAGGCAATCTATGAGTTGCATTCAACATAGCACCGGGGTTTACTCTAAGATTCTTGTCCCACTGAACAAGCAGCTGGTACACTGTTCTCCCCTGAACTTTTAGTAACTGAAAGAACATGAAAGATAGAAGAAGAAAGTAAGAATTAACAGAGAGAGAGTAAGGAATAAAAAACAACAGAGAAGATAGGAAATCTTGGGAAATGAAAAAAAGTGATGGAGCAAGAAAAATAGAGGTGAATATGAATGAATGGAAGAATAAGGGGCCCCCTCCCATTATTTGGGGGGAGAGATTACAGTGGTACCTTGGTTTACAACCATAATCCGTTCCGGAGGTCCGGTTGTAAACCAATACAGGTTGTAACCCAAGGTGTGCTTTCGCCAATTGGGCCTCCCCCCCCCCCAAAAAATGGGTTGTAATCCAAAAAAATGGGTTGTAATTCTAAAAAAGGGACACACACTTGCAGGTTTAACGTGGTTGTAATCCAAAATGGTTGCAAACCAAGGTACTACTGTATCTCGCTTTCTTAACATATAGTTGGGTTCTGAGACTCCCTTGTCACAGAAAGCAAAACTATGGATCTGAGCCCCCACCCTAAGTTATAATTTTTGTGGCTAAAAGTTTTCTTGTTATAAATTGTTATCCCTGTAAAATATGTTGAAGATTATGTTTCTGTCTTTACCATTATGATATAATAAGGGTTAGCGGAGATTTTCACAAAATGGTTGCTCAAAACTGAATGTTTGTTGCCTCTAACACAGAGATTATTTACAACACTGTCTGGAATAAGGTCCAGGATGCAAATGAATATCAAAGTACGGTATCTCTTGGCCTACCTTGTTCAGTCTGCAAAGCCTAGCAATCTGCTGGGCCTTGCAGAGGGTGGCCTCCTCTCAGCCTTGGAGTCTCTCTGAGATGTTGCCTTCTACAGAACAGAACTTTCCAGAAGTCTGGTCCTGTGATATGAGTCTTCAACATTTAGTTCTCTAGGTCAGGAGCAAAGCTCCAGGAATCTGTTATAGTTGAGAAAAGCAAACCAAAGTGTTGGAGAAGGAAGGTCAAGGAGCCAGCACAAAGAGCTGAAAGGAAAGTTGGGGGCCTGTCCTGTGATTTGTTGAAAAGGCGAGAACTAAATGTGTTTCGGAGGCCTAAGTTCTACTGAAGAGCTGAAGCAGGAAGGAGTCATTTCAAAGCCTGAGCAGAACTCAGCTATGGCTGCTGGAGACTGCTTTAGGGCCACAGGTACCTGAACACTAAACTGCACCACTTTGCCTTTGTAAAGAGTTTATTGCTGGCTAGGACAAACACAAAGTCTCGGGGTGAAATTCTAACATGCACCCCTACCTGTCCAAATAAAAGTTTGATCATTTGATTTTCTTGTTTGTATTGGCCTTAATCCGGAACATTATTTTGCACACCACATATCTCTCTAGCTTGATAAAGCCCCATAGGAACATTGAATGAACTGTTGTTCCAAGGACTAGGGCCTTGATCCAGTTCTCTGTACAGGTAGCTCGTCATATGTTACAACTGATGGGCCTGGTCATCCTTCTGCACATTTTTTAAAAAAAAACCACACACATCGACCCAGTTCAATGATGCTCATATGGTCAAACCTTCATGGACATCACAAACAAACCCACACTCCTAAAATGTTGAACATGTAAAACAAACAAACAAACAAACCCTGAGGGCATGCTCACATAATTCTGAAATTGTTTCCAGTACATGCAGGAAAAGTATTCTGACAATCAAATATATATTTTGCAAAAGTGACACACTTGTGAGTGGAAACTAGGCAGATGGAATGGAAAGACTGAATATCTTCTGTGTTCTTGGTGCTACAGCTCTTCACACCTAAGATTTACCAAGTGTTTATGCAAATAAACAACAGTCAGCAGATATGTTAAACATCTTTCATTTCCTCAACATACCTTGTGATTCGTGCTGCAAGATTTGCTACATTGCCAAAGCAGGCTATAGCTATGGACTATTAGCACATTACTCTACTGGCAGCATGGTGTCACAACTTGATCTAAGGTGTGTAACCACAGCTATACTACCCCCAAAAAAATAAATGGTAGAAAAATTAAGAAGTGGATTCTCAAATGCATTCTTGGTTGACCTAAAGATGGATTCTGGGTCTGAAAATACTGAAGAGTTCTGGTTCAGCAAGACTCATTTCTGATCCATGTAAACGTAGAGGATAACATAGCAGTACTTGGAACTATCACAAGAGGCCACTGTTGAACAACCTCACTCCATGGAAGAGAAGGTGGAATTTTTGCAGAGAAATTAAGAGTTGTGCAGATAGAAAAATATCAAATGACACACATAGCATAAAGTTCTAGTAAAAGCAGAAAGCAGAGCGCCGTGATTCCCTTATGGGCACCATGGCTTTGCGGTGTGATTCAGCTAACAACAAACCCTGCAGGTTTAGCAACAAAATTAAGGCTATCTTGAACAGGCTCAAACTCCACAAAGCATGAGAACCAGAAGCTAAGGCTGATGTCTTCACATACATGCCTTTTGATCACTAGTCAGGTTGTGCAATGACACATGTGCTAACTTAAACTTACCCTCCATG